CCTGAGCGAAAGTGGAGCGGGTCAGAGCTGGTGTGATTGAGTGGAGGCTGGGACTAGTTAACATATTCATGGATGTAAGACATAAAGAAATTATTTTTATGAGAAAAAGTTTAAATATGTCATTTTGATTATCAAAGATGAGTTTTAATGGATAAAATTAGTGACTGCAGGGGGACTTTTATATTAAATAACACCAAATGACAATATTTGTTGTCCATTGTGGGCTTCTGACAACTCTGAAGTACGATTGGGGCTATAATTGCTTTCATTGTGTGAATTTGACTGTTCTTTCTGAGTAGTGTAATAATCCACTCAACCACTTAGCCTTTCAATTCATATGTTCGCTCTCTCAGCATGATGAAGTGTGGTAATATGCAGCAAATATAATTTTTGTGCTGGTGGCATGAATCGTGGCAAATGCCATTCCCTTTCACAGCCGGAATTGTTCATCGGTTCTGCTCAGAGTTGAAGCAACATTTTTCAATGTGTTACCAACACATTTGGGAAGTAACTTGGCAACCCAAGCTGTGAGATTTTCCATGCCATCTCCATGGAAACCTTTGTCGTGCTGCTGAGACATCAGGGACAGCAGAGCTCCAAATAAACCCCTACAGTCTCTGTCTCATACACACATTTACACACACAGAGCTTGATAGAGTCTCTGCCTATCAATGCACACTACACTCTAAATGAGGCTGATCAATAAGAGTTTAGACACCATTAGGAAACATTTCTTCATGAATTTATTTGCTCTTATTGCATCAGTGATCTTTAATTCAGACTTGGCAATGCACTCTCACTGATGATGTATGTTGTTGTTTTGTTTGTTTTCATGTGGCATTTCTTCATATTCTTAAAATATTAGGTGCACCCCAATTTGTGTACTTATGCAGTATTAAATGCAGTTTTTCAGTGTAGATACTGAGATTAGTGTGTTCACATTGAAAATGTAAAAAAAAAAAAAAAAACTGCACTTCAAATGCCCGTATAATGCACTTATTTAACCAAAGAAGTGTGGAATGTTTGAGATTTGTGTACTCAACTGTCGCAGCTTTAATTACATAAAGCAGATGGGAGGGGGGCTGTGAGACTCCGATGATGAATGACAAAATACGTAATTCAAACTCAAGATGGTTGAGTACATAGTGCATTGAATAAGTGCGTCATTTGGGACAAAACTACACTTAAAAATTATAATTACACTACCGTCTAAAGTTGATTTTTTTAAATAAATTAATGCTTTTATTCAGTATGGATGCATTAAATCAATCAAAAATCACAGTAGACATTTATAATGCTGTAGATTTCCATTTCAAATAAATGCTGTTCTTTTTTAAATTTGAACTTTTTATTCATTAAAGAATCATTAAATCTTATCATGGTTTTCACAAAAAAATATAAGCAGCCTAACTATTTTGAAGACTGGAGTAATGGCTGCTGAAAATTCAGCTTTACCATCACAGGAATAAATAACATTTTAAAAATAGTAACATTTCTTTAACAGAGATAACTGTCCCTGTTAAACTTGAAATATTTAGAGCACAAATTCACGTTTTTATGACTAAGACGCACTATTTTTAATTAATTACATTTGACCGATGCCTGATCCGTTTAAAAACGTCCGTATCAGTGCCAGTATCAGTTCAGGAATTGGATTTGTGCATCCCTATAATAGAGAGCTCTTTATATCTGTGCGTTGAGTTAGCCACAAAGTAAGAGCTTTAATGAACTTATAACCTCCAGAAAGATGTACTCAAGAGTTCATCAGCAAGGCTACCTGGAATGCTGTCCTTCAGCTCAACTCATCAGTTCATGGATTTTTTCCTCATTATAGTGTATGTAGACTCCAATTGGCTGTATTGATTGAATATGCATGAAACATGACCTTATACCTTTCTTCCACCTCTACTCAAGCAGCACAATTTGCAGTATCATTTAGGGTCCATAGCACTTAGCAAAAACCACTAATGATGATAATGACTAAAATATGTCTCTTAGATTCTCTTTCAGATGTTGCGTTTCATTATTTCTAAGTGAAAACGTTTTCATCTCTTTCTTACAAAGGACAGTAAAAGCTGTTTGCGAGAGTCACTGCAAAAGAAGCAAAAAATGACAGAGCCAGCCTTTACAAACTATTCAGTAAATTTTGTACTTTGGTGGTATCATCATGTTCTAGGAATGACAACGCTTGTCTCTGTTTCCAAGGATAACAGGCATTTGTTTTATGGTCGTGCTTCTGATCTGTACCTTTCTGAATCATACTGTTGTGTTCCAATGAGTGTGATTCATTTGGTCTCTGAGCGAAAGAGTTTCCTTTGCGTCCTTCTTTCTCTCTCTCTCTGGAGGTTTAGATAGGTGTGATTCTATAGAATGAAGGAGGAGATGAGTTTACCTCCGGAGTTATTTATAGCGCTCAGGTGAGTCATACTTGGTGTTTAAACTCTGGAAGTTAAGTTGATTAGAACAGAGTTGTGCTGCTATGTTTTAGAATTATGAATAAGATAGTGAGAAGAAATCAATACACTGGATTAGATTTCACCATCTATGAATGTAGGAAGTCTTTTTCAATAATTAAGCACTTTCAAAAATCTCAAACCTTCTGTCAAACCAAGAGAGTAATGTTGCCTATTCTGATTAAACAGGTTGTTTGAAATTTATGTTTAGTTGCAGGTTTTTTGTTTGATTTGGGATTTTTAAATGCCAGATTCTCAGACGAAAAAGCCGGAAAGGCAGCGACTCTTTCTCAGGGCAACAGGGTCAGGGCAACAGGTTTTGCTCTGAAGAGCTTGTGTTTACCTGCTGCATTAGTTATGGGGAAATGAAAGAGAAGGTCAGGGAGTAAATATCTGAATCACAGTACATCCACAGTCTGAATGCTAAAGCAGAAGACTATGAGCACAGTAATGGGCTTTTCACTTTTGAGGTTAATCCAGGGTCATTTTAACACTATTCATGTTTTACCTTACAATTGAAATTGATTCTGGTTCATCAGGTTTTAAGATTTCAAACTGTCTTCAGTGTTACATGATCCTTCAGTCATTCACATATGTTGATTTGGTGCTCAATAAACATTTCTTATTATTATTATCAACAGTGAAAACAGTTGTCCTACTTAACCATGATACATTTTTTTATTATTTTCTAATGAATAGAAAGTTCAAAAGAACAGCATTCATTTAAAATAGAAATAATTTTGTTTGTATAATATACATCTGAAACAATGCTGATAATGAAATGTATCAACAACAAAAAAAGAGCTAAGAAAGGGCATCTTTTGAGCAATACATTTTTCCTCTGGGCTTGTCTTTATGTGGAAATGTCACCACGTAAATGCACTCTTGTTGTCTGAAGAAAACTAAAAACTGAGACAAAAAAGGAGGAAACACAAAGGAGCATTTGTCATCACGGTTTGACTTTTTTGTCTTTTTGATGTTAACGCTGAAAAGTGCATGACAGTTTTTGCAACTGTGAGACACCCATTAATATTTAATAAGGAGAGACTTGAGGCAAAACAGGAGGGTGCTGAACCCCTTTCATAATTGCATTACCCATGCCCTCACTTTCTTGTCATGTCCAGCGTATAAACAGAGGAAACACACTTAGCAGGAAATTTTCATTAGCCACTTCCTCAAGCAAATCAGCAGGCTAATTTCTTTCAGACAGACCCTTCCATTCTGGGGAGACCAGAGATTGTTAAAACAAGCTTTTATGCAAGTGAAGGGAATGAGTGTTTTAGTGTAATTTTATCTCTCTTTGAAACTAGGCAAATATTAGATTCTGAGTGCACACAACTGTGGTTTACCTTCACCTGAAGGTACAAAATCTGCCCTGATTATCTGTGGAATGTGTATTTCTTTGTATACAGTACAGTATGTGCGTGTGTGTGCAGTGCAGTCTAGTCAAGACATTATAAGACTGCCATTTTATTTAAATGATTCCAGGGGCGCGGGAAGATGTTTTCAGTTGGGGGTGCTGTGTGTGTCCGTGTTGAGTGAAAGGGGGGCGGGTCACCTCATTTGACAACTCCACAAAGCACTACAAGTACGTCGATATGAACACTCGTTTAAGTAGCATACACACTGGGAAATTTGACTGCATATCACATTTTTGAAATTATCGATAGTAGCTGATCAATCTCGGGGGTTGGGCTGGGTCCGCTAGGCTTACTTGTCTCCGTGCTCGTGCTGTGTCTGGTTCACTTACGTCGGTGCTCGTGCTGGGGCTGGTGTTGGATGCCGATTTTGGAAAGTTTTTGCTGGGATGGGCATTTAAAAAAATCTGAAATTCGCTTTTGCGCCATTATCTCCTTGTATTAAAGTTAATCTTGTTCGCATTCTGTATAGTTCATGTCTGATACCACGTGCCAGCGTCACGTGTTCATGAGGATTAGGCTAATAATCCCATATAGAAAACATCACAAGTAAAATTAATCATGTTTATAAAGATAAACATGGGTTTATTATAGCCCACTTACAATTTACATTTCAGAGATCATTACAAATAAATTATTAAATGCTAAAACTAAATAAATTTAAATGAACAAACTTGGCGTTGCATTTGCAACCATGTGAAAACAGGGGGTGCTGCAGCCCCCTCAGCACCCCTACTTCCCGCGTCCCTGAAAGATTCCTACTGTAGAACCACCATCAACAGTCACGATGAGGAAGCGCTTTATGCATAAATCACACGTGCCAACTCTCAATTTCTCCTTTTCCTCTTAATAGTCAGGGGTGGTGAGTCACGGTCTGCATTCTTCCTACTCACCTCGTATACACTCTCTCCTTCCTGGTATTTATTGCAGAGTTTTTTTCCAGCTTTGAGTGTTTGATGGAACTAAACGAGGGTACTTGTGAGAGAGAATATATTCATAAGACCTGCATCGTTCCACAGATTCACCGATCATGAGAACATCCACAATGCGTAAAAAAGCTGTAGAACGTTTGCTTTAATTCATCATGCTGACTCAGCCAACTTCTGTTGTGTCTCCATGTGTAACACAGGTCAAGCAGATCATGGAGGAAGCAGTCACAAGAAAGTTTGTTCATGAAGACAGCAGCCATATTGTCTCATTCTGTGGTAAGTCACTGAACATACAAATGTTGAACTGAAATGTGTTGGCAGAAAGATTTTACATTTGTTATTAACCCCAAGTACCTTCTCATGCTTTATTTTGGTGTTCTAAGGCATTGCGGCCTGAAGGAAAGTTTTTGCTTGAAGTGCTTTTTCATTTTACAAACAGCTCCACCTACATTGCATTACCTGGTGCAGGTCCTGAGTTATTCTTGTTTGGAATGTTTTATCTGCAACCTTTGTACACAGAATAAAAAGGTCTAAACAATACACAATAGATTTCATTTTAGAAAAATACTTGAGAAGCTCTAATAATGTTCCATTGTCATTCAGTGTCATTCAGACACTTATATTCATGTAAAAATTTAAACATACTTATTCTGACCTGTACATATTAAAATATATAAAAGAATAAGTGAGAATGCTAATTTTTGTTGTATTTTAAATGAGCAAAAAAATCTTGCTGACAAAGTGGCAAAACCTAGGATAGTGGCAAAGTTTAAAAATGTGAAATTACAAGTAATTAGTATTTGGGGTCAAAGTAATTAGTCTTTAAATATGTCATAAATTGATTATTGTTGTAAATATGCCCGACAAGACTGTTACACTGAATGACATTTTAGTGGGTGTCTTCTGTAAATCATGGTAAAAATGTAAGATATTTATTTTTTGCTCAGAAAAAAAAAACAATTGAATTAAACAGGACACATTCTAATGTATTGGAAAACAACAATAATTCAAAGCTGTATTACACTTATTGTTTTGATGCTTGAAAACCCTTTTTCATCTTGACTTTGACCCATACACTACTGTTTTGGATCTGTACTTTTTTTCTTTTTTTTTTTTTAAAGAAGTCTCTTATGCGCACCAAGGCTGCATTTATTTGATCAAAAATACAGTAAATGCAATACAATTTTTAAATATCATTACAATTGAAAACAACAGTTTTCTATTTGTAATTTAAAATGTAATTTATTCTTGTGATGACAAATCTGAATTTTCATCTCTCTATTTGTTCTCAGTTTAATATCACGCATTTAATAATGTCAAGGAGAAACAATTGAGATATTAAAGAGATCTAATTTTTCTTTTCCATGGGAGGCTCTGGGAATCATCTGTGTTTCAGTATCTGCCAAATGATGGGCAGCTTGATGGTTTGGCTGGTTCCCAGGTAGCGCGAACATTCAGCATTTAACAGGGCTTGGAAAGCACCAAAGCACATTAATGTCAAAAAGGAGAAGTGTCATGTTTATTGAGTCTAGATTAACATAGAGTGATAATTTCAACGTAAATGGACCAGTAAGTGAATGTGTAATTGATCTTGTTGCAGTAAGTGCTGCCCGCTGTTTGTCAGCAGAAAATATGACCACATAATAAAGTTATCACTCTTCCACACTCAGACGTGCATCTTCTCTGTTGCTGTGCAAATTCACATCAAGGTACCATGACATGATGTTTAATGATCGAGCAGTGCGTAAACAGAATAATTGAGTAGTCAATAATAATTCAGTTTCTGCCAAGTCATATTCTGCCTGTTAGGTGAAGGCTTTATAGCCCTGTTCAGCTTTTATTATTGTTTATTCACATTTACATTTTATGTTTTCTGAACAGCTTTTATTACTCCAGGATGCTGGCAACCATACCACCTTCTCTGGAATTTAATCAGCACAGCTCTGTGAGGGGTCAAACGCTGTTGGCAGGTTTGCAATGTGTGTAAATTAGACTCTGCATCCAAGTGATTATTGTTCTAAAAAGTGTCTCGTCAGGGTAGAACAAAATCAACAAAACCTTGCAGTTCAAGCTCACAGAAACAGCTAGTGGAACTTCTTTCTTTAACCCTACTGTGGTGTTTCTGAGTAACACCAATCAAAGTAACTTGAAAAATAGCTTTTGGTTAATTTGGTTAACATTTTCCTTGCTCCTTTGTCCTCCTCCTCCCCCTCCTTCATCAGCTCTAACAGCTGACGACTTTGCCACGTTCTTCATTAATAAAATTAAAACCATCAGTGCACAATTTTCCACACCACAATCTGTCAAGCACATCTTACCAGCAAACATACACTTGTTCACATCCTTCTCTTCACTCTCTGAGGCAGAAGTCTCCAAACTCATCCTTTCTAATCATCCTACTACTTGTCTGCTTGATCCTATTC